TCTTTCATAGCGGCGACTTCAAATGGACGAACAATGTTAATTGATATACAAGATGATATAGCGCCTTTATTTACTGATTCTATTCACAATGACGTATCACCAAATAATGTCAAATATGAAATTATTATAGTTTTACATAATCTTTTATGTATCAATACTGATATTCGAGTGAGTTTTGAAATATTTATAACTGTGACTATTGAAAAGTATTCTTCTACTTTAGCTTAGTTTTATGAATTCCATTTCTATTGGATCAGCTTTGGTTCAATATATGAGTACACCAGTTACTGCTAACGAAGCTGAAACATTTCTTGCAGTTTTTATTGCATTAGCAGATGCAGAAAAAGATGTATGTGTTAAATTCTATTGATAATAAAGATTTATTTTTGTTTTATTTTTCTTTAGCTTTATGGTATTGCAAAAGCCATGGAATTTGATCCTGATTATTATTCATCTATTGTTGCTTGTCAACCATTAATTGCAAAGATAAAAGAAAATTTCCAAGCTGTATAATTCCTATCTATTTTTGTTTTATTTTGTGTTCAAAAAAATGAATCCATATGGACAAAATTCTCTTCTTTTAAACATGAATATAAATTTAAAACTGAACTTCTTTTTTTTTTTAAATTTTTATTTCTATAAATAATATATTTATTCAATTAAAAATTGATTATCATAATTCATATTTATTCATATAACATAAGACAAGTAAAAAAATATGTTGACCATCATCATTGTTTGAGATTAAGCTAAAATATTAACAGAAAAGAAATTATTACATTGGTCTTTATTAGTATAGAATTCTCTTACCATGTTCATCTTTATCTAAATCTCCAAAAATTAAATGAATATCATTTTTAGCATGTTGAACATCTGGCGAAACATCAATAGCATTATGAACAAGATCTTTACCATACATAGCACGGAGACTAATTAATAAAACATTTTGTATTATATGAAATAATTTTATTATCAAACCTATGTGGTGCTGTTTCGGATGCTTTAGCTGGTTCTTCGGGTCCAACAACGTCTTGCCAACTTTTACTAGCATGTTCTTTGACTAGTACTAATAATTCCGATGGACCACTACAATACATATATAATAATCTATTTAAATCAACTAGAAGAAAATCTAATGACCAACCTAGTCATATAATGTACTAATTCCTCATAATGATCTTTGCCATGATGTGATTTTTCTAGTTGTGCTACTTGTTCTGGTGTTAATTTTTCAGTTTTACGTGCCATAACAAAGAAATGAGCTTTTCGGAATGCTTCTACGATTTCCGCTAGAAATAATGAATAATAATATATTTTAATTTGAACATATGAATATATTCAAATTGATTCTTTACTTTTTTGTTGATCGGTAAGATTAGGTTTAAGTATAACCAATATACGTTCTTCTGGAAAGAAGAATTGTAAATTACGATTAGCTTCAGCTTGTGTACGTGCTCCATGTAAAGAATTAATTTTTGCATCGACAATATCAAATTCATTTCGAAGACTTGAATGAAAAAGTATGACTTAGTATAAATATGGTTTTTATAATCATAACTTACGTTCCAGCTGCTTCTTTGATACGATTTTTTTCTGTTGGACCAAGTAAAGTACGAAAAGCTTGAACACCATCTTTTTTAGTTATGTATAATGCTGTAGATGGCCCACTAGAAACAAAAAAAAGAGTTCTATAGAAATATTTTTTAATGATATTTCTCATACCTTGTCATTTCATGCATAAGATCATGAAAATAGGGTTCATTTTTCTTGTCACTATAGAATTGTTCTGCTTGTGCTTGTGTTAAATGAACTTCTGCTGTACGAGTTACTTCAAAACCACTATCATGAATTTTTTTAATGATAGCATCTAATGAATGAAAACTTTAAGAATTATTCATTTTTTAAAAATATTTTTAAACCTTTATGTAATTTAAAAGCGGTTGGTCGAATGATGGCTAATGTTCTTTCAATTTGTTTTTCGCGTCCTGATTGTGGTTTTTGAGCAATACCTGGTAAAAGTAACATTAGATCTCTGTAAAAAAAACGAAATAAGATGATACAATCAACGATATATAGTATTCTACTGACTGTTGAACATGATCTGGTGATTGTGTACAATCAACATTTTCTTTCCATGCTTCTTCCGAATGAACTAATTCACGGAATTGCTCAACAGTTGATTCTTTAGCATCCGTTTTTTGAAGTAAAAGAACAACGGATGGACCATTTGTCATATGTACTATTTGTTCTTCATAACCTGCCTATAAATACATAAAGAATTTGATTTTTTTTTCTAAATTTGAATAAAATTATTATTTTCAAACTTCATTCATTTTTTGACGATGAAATTGACGTGCATCATGTTCAGTAAGTTGATGTTCTTGTTGTAATAAAACTCGAAAACCATGGTGTTTAATCTATATCATAAAAGTTATTCAATAAAAAAAACCTATTTCTAAGAAATATATATGACTTACTTTATCAACAATTTCATTTGTTTTACCATTTGCATAAGCATCTGGACGAATAACTGCCAAAGTATATTGATGACTTGCTAGAAAAATAAAAGATTGTATTTAAATGTTTATTTATTTTTCTAAATAGAAGAAAAATTTATTTACCAACAGCATTAACAATAGATGGACTACGTTTACGATTTGCTCCTGCTTCAACTTCATCCTCTTCGTCTTCTTCTTCTGGAGCAAGTTCCATACGATGCTAGGATAGATATAAATATTAATTTACAAAAAAAAACAAAATTAATTGTTAAAAATTACTTCAGTACGTTGGCCACCTTCCTTTAAAATTTTTTTTTCTTGTTCTAAACCTCCTGTAATTTTTCGTTGTAATTCAGGTGCATTAGCTCCTATACATGAATCAACTAAAACACCGCTCTATGAATATAAATCAATAGTTTATGAAGAAAATTCGATTTAATTCTACCGCATAGAATAGAAAACATGGTTCACATCGTCCACGAAATTTTTCAAGTGAATCAATTGTATCCGCTTTAGCCTAGAAGGAATCGAAATTATTTTGAATCTTTTTTCTTTCTATATGAGATTAGTTTTTTATTAAAATTAAAAGCGTGTAGATTTCTATTGACTCACAACAACAAAAGCCAAAAGCGGATCGCCCAGCGTATTTTTAATCGCTCGAAATTTTGCTTCCAATGCTTTACAAGGACCTCCATATGATTGATAAACATCAACAACTAAAATAAATAAAAGTGCAAATAACTTCTATATATAGAGTGCATTCTAAATAAATATCTAGCGACATATATATATGAGCGTAAATATAACAACAAATTGTGGATATAGGTACGATACAAAAAAACAATTATTACAATCGCAAATCTTAATAATGGCTCGCAAAGTTCAGTTTTCATTGTCTTGAAATATCCCTCTGCACTTCTACATGGACCTGCCCAATGTTGATAAATATCAATGACTGAGAAAGATAAATGTAAAATTTTATTGTGAAAAGAAAAAAATATGATCATGAAACGATAAATATTCTCTTATCAATCACCTGTAAGACCTTCTTTATTAATTGCATCATTCCATTCTTCTTGAGTTTCAAGTTCAGCTTGTAAAGCAATTTCTTGACGACGACGAGCCATCTTTTTACAATCTATATATTAAATACAAATGAAACAAATAAAACATGTTCGCCATGATTGAGTTTTTACATATGAGAGTACCATGGTAATCGATAATAATAGAGGTTACACATAAGTGTTGAAAGAAAAATGTATTTACTTTATACACAGCTACGACATCTGTGTACTTCGTTATAAAAAAAAAACTAATATATTATGCATGTTCATATCTTGTATATTGTTATTTAAATAATTTCTCATTTTATTAGATTCAAGCATGAAAATAACTAAACTACACATAATAATTATATTTAATAGATATAAAGCACAAAAAAGTTTTAGACAGCTTGATAGATAATACGTTGCCAATTCGATGCACTATGAAGATTTTTTACGTCTCCACATCTATCACCACCTCCACGATTGATACTAGAACGAAGTGACCAACATAATCGATATTTACTATTTTGATCACTAGTATCACAAGGATTCAAATTGACCGTAGTTTGTGACACGCCATGATGCATGGAATACTGACCATTATACGACGAGCCGGAATCCTACAATATATGAGAGCGTATTTTGCATGTAGAAACGTAGTCTATTTTAAGTTTAAGATTATTTTCAGTATTTTTTTCATTGAATAAATTTTTTGATTATTTAACAAAGACAATATTACTCATAGAATATTTTATCTTTCTTACTTCAGTACGCCCTTCGAATCCCCAGGCTTGATCATCCACATAGTAAAAACCTGTACCATTTTTTATTTCAGTTGCACAATAATTCTTTTGAGAACATTCCCGTAAGATAGTTTTACTATAGCCTACACCAGCTAACTTTAAAGTTGCCTTGTTATCAGTAGGAGTACATGCGACTAGAAATCTTGTACTTTTGCAATTCCTTGAAAATTCCATTACATCAAATGGTATATGATATGTGCTTCGATAACATTCTTGCCATCCAACCAAAGAATTTATATCCAAGTTTAGATGAGCACCTGTGCGAGGAGACAAAAATTGTTCAGCTACAAAGAAATAAATTGTGTAAACAATTAATATTTAATAGAATTTAGAATGATTTATTTATGAATCAAGCATACTTACGACCTAGTCCAAAATCGGAAAGCATAAGTGAAAAATTTAATCGTGTATCAGTTTTTGGTGCTTCAATAAGAATATCATAGACAGATATTTGTGATTTACGCTTAATTGCTCGCAATTGATCAAGTAAATAGTTAAATTGATCGGGATTATAATCGAAAAATATTACACCTTGATTATCTCGTGATTTATGTGCATTTGTATTATTCTTCATAAACATCAATGCTAATTTCGATTTAGGTACAGCAGTTAGAGTTGAGCGTGATGTTGTTATTCTTTGACCACCAACGTTTAGTTCAATCACATCATCTTCTATTAATTTTTCTCCTTGAATAAATAAGGGTTTTTTTGCAGTCGAGTTTTTATTAAAACCAGTTCCATTCGAAATATTATTAAACTGAATTGAACTCAGCTGCTCATCAATTTCATAGTCAACAATCGAATCAATATGGGCACCTGCTATTTGAGTTGTTATTTGTTGATTAAACAACACAAAATAAAGAGTCTAGATATAAGAAAATAATCATAAAATAACTCTTTTAATAGTATACCTACAAATAAAGTAGAAAGTATAATCGACAATCTATCCATAATATATACGCATGAAGAATGGAGTAGTACAGGATAGCTCTATTGTATATTAGTTTTTAAGATTAACGATTTTTGTCCTATATATATATAAGTTATAGGACAAAGATTATATGTCAGCACTTAAAAAATAAATAATATAAATTAAGATACATGGAGTGATGAAAGTATGGGGTAAAAATCATCTCATATCTTATAATGTTTTTGACAAGTGTCTAGCGAACTGTCTATGTCAAACAGATAATTATTTATTTAAATATCAGAATTAATGATATACACAGATATAAGTCTTCAAAACTAACGTTAGTTAAAAACATAATTAATATGATGAATTTTCTTTGAAAGAACGTGTAGAATGTTTCAGTTAGTTTAATTTTTGTATCACATTATATACTCATTCGATCAATAAATTAGCAAAGTCGTATGTTATACTTTTTTTCTAGTCGTTGTATACGGTATTCAGCTAAATCCAGTTTGGAAAAGATTCCAACATTCTTATTTTCAACGAAGCAGTAATCGTGTTGACGAAATGTAAAACATTGAATTTGAAGTTCTTAATCTATACAAACTATTTTCAACGATGAATTCTCATGACAAATCTCATATTTAAAAAGCAGTAAAATAAATTTCAAATAGCAGCTAGCTAGACTGATCACTATTAATCAGAAATACAGAATTAAGACAAACATATATTTATCATTCATTACTATTCTTTCGTTTACTTCATATCTGAATAAAATGTTTCATGGTTATTTTCATCTAAATCTAAATCTATCGGACAGAGTATGAAATTTATGATAGCAAAATACAATAATTTGTTTTTCTATTTCAGTCTAAAGATGATTATAGACAATACATTGATAAAATGGTATATTGTTAAATGCTGGCTAAGATTGAAATCTTGACTTTAACCATTTGAATCCATTATATACAATAGATGGACGTTTCATTTCTTCCTTTGACGTTAAATATGCTGTACGACATGCAGTTTCAATACGTGCCAATGAATGCAATATTGAATACAAATTATTTTTATTTCGATATTCATCTTGTCTCATAGAACTGAAATAAGAATACAATGGTCGGATAAGATCTTCATCAATAATAATTTCTCCACATCGATATAAATTTGCATGATATCGAATTAGATTAATACTCGCACATTGAATTCTTTCGAATAGATTAAATAAAACGAACAGAAATACAATAACAACATCAATAAACATCTCTATTTCGCTTTTTTCGAGCGCCAACAATGATTGAAATATAGCGGTCCATCAAAATATCGGTTTCAATTGCATAATCATGTGATTAATTCATTGCCATTGCCACCATCAAAAAAAATTGAAACTCTTCTCAGATTAAGATCAATGAGTATCTTACTTCTTTCTCCCCATCTTCAAAATTTCGTCTATAGTAATGCTACCGACAAACGCAAAGGTAAGATTAGATCAAGTAAATTTCTACTTATTATTGAACATTTTACTGTAATGAATAATTTCAACTTAATCTACACATAAAAATCTGCTCTTGTACTGCAACAAGAATTGAAACTTCAGTATAGTTCCATATCAATAAAGATTATATTCGTGCTACTATGAAAATTCAATTTTGATTTCAAAAACAGAAGCCGTTTATACCAGGACAAAATCTTATTCTTATCCTACTTGTTCATTTTCAACAGAAAGCTCCAGAACTTTTCGTGTAACTGCAATCTTATCCTTCTCTCGAAACTCGGATTGATTGATTTGTGATCAGAATGAACGATAACGCGCATATAACTGACTGAGTAAGAGGGTATGGGTGTGAGTATTATCTTCTTCATAGATCACACCCATATCCATAATCACACTCTAGATTGTCTCTTTTTTTCTTGTGAGCGTGCCCTCTTCATAAGAAGTCGGAAGCACACCAAGTGACGGACTCGATAGATAAGTAAATATTGGTGTGTGATGATCTTTTTTATTGAAAAGAAATCAGCATTATATATATTGCATACGAACAACTGTGAAGCTCAGCAATGGCTAGGCAGTATCACAAAGACAAACCGAAGCAACTAGAAAGACAATGAAATGATAACAATGAGAGAGAGATGATGAAACGAGCAAAAAACAGAAGGTGAAAAATGTAAAAATAAAGAATAAAGATCTCGAAATGTGAAAACAATAGAAATAATATATGTATAGAATAGAAAGAGAAGATATACGTGAAAGAAATGAAAAAGATGAAATGCATCACCCTCTAATATTTCTATCAAAAATAATCATAGTTTCAGTGTTTTCATTGTACATCGAAGTTTTTCATTTGTAATGTGTTTCGCGTCAACGTAAAAATCAATTATGTTTCGCCTATGGGCATTATTGTGGCAGATCTACGTTTGCATTTTTTAATAGAAAACATAATCAATTCAACCAAATATGGCACTATCAGTTTGAATACTGTAATCAAACCACCAACTAATCCAATCACAGTTGTAATAATGTATATTGCACTATTCTTCGTCATAGTAGTATAGCTACAGCGTGATGGTTGACATTCACTGTAATAGTTTTCATACATGCTTGAATTAATCCATTCTTCAACCATTAATTTATCAAGAATATCTGCGATTGTTGAGTTTTCCAAAAACTGAATCGACAATGATATATCAAGAGCTGTCACATTCATAAATGAAGATACTTGAAAATATGATTGTAGTTTATTGATGCAGGTTTGATTATAAAAACATTGCAGATCAGACTGAAGTAGTGATTCAATTATATAACATCCTGTATAAAGGCCCGGAACAGAGAATAATAAATTGTAATTTGCGACTAATTTATAAATTGGATATTGCATAATGCAGGTGCCCGAAGAAGTACACGAACAATTACCGTACGACCTTGGTATTCGAAGCATAACAACTTCCGATTCAGAAAGCTTGTAATTAGTTAGTTCACCACTGAATAAGCTGTTACCTTGAGTTGTGTTTCGTATCATAGCAAGTGATAATAAAAATTCATTTCTTGTTGCTGATTTAAATTGAGATATAAATGCATCAGTTTGTAGTTTAAATAAGTTTGAAGGTGTTACAGATGCACTTACAAATTGATTTGTATAGAATTGGATTAAACTATTCGATATTGTTTGATCGACTAGTGCGCAAAATGTGCTCATAGTTTGAAATGCAGATGAACCTGACGATCGGAAATCAAATATAGTTACACTATAGCTTCCAGGGGACTCGTCAACATAATTGATCCAATTTTGTGTAACAAAGTCACTATGACATATTTGATGTAGTGTATATTGGACTTGAATAAATTTTTCATAGTTGATTGATATTTGTGTGCATTCACATGTTAATGTTTGACTATGTGAG